AAAACAAAAAAAACAAACTTTTTTTTTTTTTTTTTTTTTTTAATGAAGGTTCCAAAAGGGGGTTTCAGCAGTGATGCCGGAGATGAACTTTTTCAGATTTTTTTTAATGAGTGTGACCAACATTTTAATAATCTAAAGAACCCTTTCCCACTATAAAGTACCTTTTACTTTTTTCAGTAAAAAGTATCTACAAATCCTTAAAACAAGATAAATTTAACAACAAATATACATTTATTTGAGAAGCAACACTGGATTTTTTATATTTTTATTGGAAAATTTACATTTAAATACATTAACCATCATAAATGTAATATAAATATATATAAATGGAATATATTCTAATGTAATAATTTCAGTTTCAGTGTTCAAAAGTCTAGGGTCAGTAAGATTTTCAGCAGGGACAAGTTAAATTGATCAAAAGTGACAGTGAAGAAACATAATAGTACAAAAGATATATTTATATCTTTATATATATAATATTACAAAATGCTGTTCTTTCTGTTCATTAAAGAATCTGGAAAAAATTTATCACAGATTCCACAAAAAAAAAAAAAAACACTGTTTTCAACATTGATAAGATTTGAGATTTGAGCAAATCAGCATATTATAATGATTTCTGAAGGATTACGTGACACTGAAGAGTGGAGTAATGATGCTGAAAATTCAGCTTTGCCATAATATATTAAATATTAAAATTGCAATAATATTTCACATTATTACTGTTTTTACTGTATTTTTGATTAAATAAATGCAGCCTTGGTGAGCAAAAAATATTTTTTTCAAAAACATCTTGACTTGTCAGATAAATCAACATGTCAGATAAATGTCAGATAAATCAACACAAGCGCATTTGTCTGCAGTCTGATATACTGTAGTTAGCACATCACTCACCTTGTCTTTGTTGGTATTTTGCTTATCAGTACAGATCCCCCGATAGCACAGCTTGTTGCTGCCACAGGTCGTACCGTCAGCCCAGGGAAAGTGGCGAGTCTGACACACCAGCTGTCCTTTAGCTTTCCCTGTGCACCACAGTTTGGAGCACGCCTGCATGTACGGACAGGGCTTGGATCCTGAGCCGAAAGCCAGTTCACATTGACGGCTGAGCGAGTAGCTGATGCCCGGAGGGTCATTTGGAAGAGCCAAAAGCTTTTGGGGCTGATCCAGCAGACAGTCACCTGGACAGCAAAAGGTACTTAATGCAAATTTTACCTTTAGTATGTTGGTGATTTGTATAGCTGAGCATATCCTCAATGTATTTATTCGACATTGCTGAGACACATGTCAAAGTTGATTGCAGCAGAGCAATCAAACTAACCGTGGCCAGCATCCAGGAAGTCTGTGATGATGGCAGCGCTGCAGACAGACCAGGGCGTGTTGTGGTCAATCTGGATCAGTGTGGGAGACATCATATGGTTGTCCTTCAGCTTTCCAAATACCTCCTCACAAGCCTTCACATTGTCATGTGGCATACTGAACACATGCCCTGGACAAGAGCCAAAGAAATAGTCAAGCCGTCTAAGTCTGTTTTCATTTTCATAGCAGAAAATGCAATTAATAGTTACAGTTAAGAGTTTTTGTCCATTGATAAAAATATTCTTTAAATGTAGTCAACATCTATCTACTGCCTGTCTGTCTGTCCGTCCATCCATCCATCATTCCATCCATCCATCCATCCATCCATCCATCCATCCATCCATCCATCCATCCATCCATCCATCTATCTATCTATCTATCTATCTATCTATCTATCTATCTATCTATCCATCTATCCATCTATCTGTCTGTAAGGTGTACGATAACTAACAGATTCAAATATGTACATAGAGATGTCTGTATACACCATATAAGGATGGCACTGATGCACCAGCCCCAGTGAATGTGGTTCTTCAGCATCTGCTAATGTTTTCCCATCTGTCTTTTATTAAACCTTTGTTTTCACAGGGATCAAGAGATGTGGAAAACTCTTGAATGCAGTTGTCATTGTTATTCTAAATTAATAATAAAGTGTGGCAGGACTTTTTTTCTGGAAACAGCTGGCACAACATTCATGTTTAAAGATCAAGGAATCAGAGATAGAATTTCAGGAGTGAGAAGCCTCATCAAAATCCCATCACCCTAAAGGATTCAACTTAATTACACCACAGACAGGCGCTGAGAAGAGAACACAGACAAGGACTTTCAGTTCACCTGTTTTGCTCACAAAAGACTGACTCTGACACTAAACAAAGCTCTCACCTAATTCATGTGCGGTGGTGAAGGCTGAGGGAAGACCATCATCTTCAATAACTGAGCAGCTCCTCTTAGGATCACACATGGTTCCTACATCAGCCATACCCAGAGTGTCACATGTGGTAGCCCCACACAGGTCCTGTGAAGAAAATGATTATAGTGTGAAATCAGTGATGAAACACTATGTGACATAACAAGCATCAAGTGTTATGAAGATGATAGCCAGGGTTGCAGTTGTCATCACTTAATTAATCTCTGTAATCCAGGCTGCCTCACTGAGCTTTTCCCAGTGATTATCCAAAGTGTGAACTGTCTATGTCCGATTTGTCTGATCAAAATACAAACTTATTGTGTATTGACATTATGAGAAGCATAGGGTTGTGTGGAACAGTGAGGGTGGCCAAGAATGCCTGTAAACAGCTGTAGTTACGACATTGTTACGAGGACAGAGGGACCATCTGAGAACATCATAGTGCAGCCACCTGGAGACTTCAGGGAGAAATTTTGGGAAGGCTGAATACATTCCAATATTATCTTGACATAAATGTTTCAACTTTCTCATGCTGTCAAACATGAGCGGTGCAGTTTAAAGGAGATGGCCATCTGTTCAATTTTTAGTTTAATCCTTAAAATATATATATCTTTTTTTTTTTTTTTTTTACAAAATACTAAGCAGTACTTTGCATTGCTGTATTCACAAGTAATATAAAGGCATGGAGTTAATTTTGTTGAAATAACAGGTGCGGCGCAGGTACGTTGGCATAATAGTTAGAAGTGTAATGACAGCTGACTTGGATCACTCCTCTGCTTGATTCACTTTTATACTCATGATGTGTGCTTTCAGCTTTCTGGTGATGTAATGGTGCTTTTAAGTTTATATTGGAATCAAATGGTAGAGAATTACATTTTCTTTTAGGGGCACTCCCAACAAGCTTTGACATATTTCCAGAAATGTTTACTTTCTATCCAGATGGCATGTTAGTATATAAAGCATTTCAACTGTGGCAAAACTGCTGAAAGATGTAACATCAGAGATGATTAAAAGGTGAAATCTTTCTGTAAATATTTAGATTTAATTACCTAAATGACAAATGTCAAATGGTGTAAACGAAGAACTGCTTTACTGAGACCTTGAATAAATGTGAGTGAAATTCTCAAATTTCTCTAAATTTTTTCAAACATTTTTCAAAGGTGGTATCTAAATTCCGTATTTATATTTTGAGTCAAGATTATATTTATATTCTAAGAAAACATGTTCCTCGTGTGTCCCTTCACAGCCTTGCCACAGTCATGAGGGTCTCAAGGGGTCTTGGTTGTCTTATGTCTTTCTTGTCACATGACAACAAAATGGATTTCTGGTTACACCACACAGACTTTAATTTACCAGACTATTAAAAAAATATTGAAAATTGATTGATTTTGTTTTGCAGTCTACAGTCACAGCATCCAGACATTTTTTTTTACCTTAATCCCCACAAAAATTAAAACATTCAGAAATAAAAAAAAAAGTTAATCATAGAGATGCATTGAACTGAATTGAATTACAGTTATTTGTGTCTTTTAAATAACCTACTATTTGCAGACAAAAACAGTCATTGACCCATATGAGAACATCATTTCTTACCTGCTTTGTAAACAAAATAGCGGTGTCCCAGTACTCTGGGTGTTTGTCGTTGATCTTGTTCAGCTTCTTCTGCCAGGTGCAGAAATTGCGCAGCGTCAGTGCTGCGTTACTGGATACTTTGGGTCCTTTTTCTGCCTCATTAATCACCATAAGCTTTACAACCACTATACCGATGGCGTTCAAGATACTGGGGTGTTTGTACAGCTTTGCGGTGACAGACATGAGAGTCAAAAGGTAATGCTTCAGGTCGTCGCCGTGGAATTTTGCCATAGACTCATCAGCGACAACCAGGACCTCTACGTACCTCGGTATAGAGGCGAATCTTTTCGATCTGCTCATGCTTTTCAACAAAGTTTCTGTTAAGTTCCTCGTGTGTCCCTTAACATGTTTATACTTTTCCAGCGACTCCACAACGTCCTGGTTTAAACTGGATGTAACTCCGCACCTAGATGTTGAGTTCGGTGCGTGAAGATGTCTTCTCCTGCGGATGATGTGCGTTTTTTCAGCATCATCTGGGATCAGTCCTGGTGCTGTGTTGGTCGACCTGCGCTCTATGAGGTACTCCATCCCGTTATGAGAGAACGCTCCTCGGATACCTCCACAGAGACTGAGAGCTGCGTATGAATTCCTGTCTGCATTAATATCACCGGAGTAAAAGCATCTTCTAAAATCATCTCCTAAAAAAGCACTCGAAGATGATGTGTTATATTGAAATGTGCCATCAGGAGCCAGAAAACTGGAGTCAGGCAGAAGATTAAGATAAAATTCCTGATTAAAAGCGTTTATTCTGTAAACAACAAGTTCTTTGTTCAGTTTGTCATGACTTGGGAAGTTTTCACGGTCAAGTCGAACAGGTTCACAAAAATCAGTTTCCATACAGAGGTATATTTTCGTTAAAAACAGCATGTGCAAGAGACAAAACAAAATAACGGGGGAAACCGACATCGTTGTTGGTGGTGATTATATATCCTTCAAAGTGTAATTGACACCGTGATTCTGTTGATCACGGTTCTGTACATCCGTCATGAGGATTAAGCATTGCCACAATCGCCATCCATCGCCCTGCTGTTTCTCTCTGTGAAACCAGCTCTCTCTCTTTTATTCTTTTGCGTCATATGTAAACATTGCAGATTGTAATAAGAGTTTTTGGGAAGTTCAGATGAGAGCTCATGATTCATGTTGAACACCGCAGACACTTCTGGCTCTCTAAATATGAGCATCAAGTCAGCCGCGCTTCAGAGGTTACCTCCCACTCCATACAAATGCTTGTCATTTGTAGAGGTGTAGAATACGACTTTGGGGGGAGATGGGTAAGGGGGCATGCTTTTAAAATAAGTAAATTATTTTTATTTAATCTTTTTATTTTAACTTCTTATAAAGAAATTACAAAAGAATAATAATAAAATTATAACAATTTCATAAAATGTCTTATAAAATTAAATAGGCCTAGGTTTGTTTGATACAATCAATTCCAATACTATATTTACGTTATTAATGAGAGGAGGTAAAGGCATCATAACACATAATCCTAATAATCCTGATGATTTTACTTCATGAGATAATAGAACGTTCATTCAAAGTAATCTGATCTTTAATAATCTTCTCAAAATGTTAGTTCAAAAACATTATTTCTATCATTGTCGTTTATGGGACGTTTTTCTGCGAAATTTTAGTTGGACGTTCATCTGAGATGGTTTAGAGAATAGTCCAAAGTAACATTCCCATAATGTTTGCAAAAATGTTTCTTTAACATTCACAAAACCAAGAAAAACCGGAACGTTTTGAACTTTCGAGAGTAGGCTATTCTTTAAAGTCACCACTTAAGAGTCACCACATAAATCTATTCATAAACATCACACAGAGATTATCATGAAGATATACTGTCAGTTATGGTCAGTAATTGCGTTAAATATCTAAAACTATGGCCAACTAAAAGTTGAACGAAAAACGTTGCCTCTCTGTCGCCATCTATGGTTGTAATATAAAATTGCATATCACTTGGAGTTATTTTACGTGTGTGCTTTGCTTTTGTAGAATCTAGTGCGAGTCTTTATGCAGCATGGCACATCCTCTATCAGAAAAAAGTAGGCCTTTTGTAGAATAAGTGTAAAACTGCTTTTTAATGTGCTCGCTCAATGAAATTTTGTTAATTTGTCATTAAAATATCTTTCTTACAGTCACTTATATTTACATTTACATGTATGCATTGTTTTCAACCAAAGCGACCTACAAAGAGGAAGCAGTTTATCACAAAGCCAACAATTGTTGTAGTAGGCCTACACAATTCCAGATTTATTAGTCAACTAGATTGTTTGGTGGTTAAGTGCTTACGGAAGTGTCTTCAGCTGCCTCTTGGAGGATGTGATGGTCTCAGCCATCAGAGATAGATATAATATTGCATCGGTAAATAAAGTTTGAATAAATTTGCCTAAATTTTTGAACAGGTAAAATTCTGGCTATTTTTATTGTAATTTAACATTAAGAAAGAATCAAAATTAATGTCATCAATACACCTCCAAAAATTATGAGATATGTAAATATGGTATTCAAAAATATGTGCACTTGAGCATGTACAGACTTTCCTCTTTTTAACCACCATGCATTCCCTTGAGTGGTGCTTTGTTATTAAAATCCATATAAATCAGGTCCATCATTGATCTATTTTTATATTTATAACTTCAAGCTCTGCAAGTTTGTGTACTGCTGCTGCTGCATGCTGTAGAATGTCCTTCAAATTTCCCCCAACCCCCCTCTTATCAGCTGAGCTCCACACATGTGGTCATGACAGGGCCTTGAAAGCTCATTGGAAGCAGCACAAATAGTAGATGACTGTCAATGATGACACCTACTGTGAACTGTTGCAAGAACTGCCAGATGATCCACATCAGGGAACACTGCAGCTTATTTGCCCTCGCCCACAGTGGAACAAGTCAGAGATTCTATGGACTAGCTTGTGTGGTCATTGGAATAGCTCAATCGTTTTGCTGTTTTTAGAATGTACATCAGGACCTTTTCTCATGTTTGTAACCCTCATTGCTGACCTAAATGTCATATTCTGTATAACATTGCTTCTGAGGTTATAGAGAATGGAAGTTCTCTATGTGCTATAAACCAATGGATATCTTTTTGTGTAGGCCTATATTATTTTCACTCTCAGTCGATATATATATAAAGAGTGGTTGTGAACCATACAGATTATTTAGATTAGTCGTTGTCATATAAAATACTATTGGTGGAGTTCAATGCCAACAAATGTATAATTTATTGAAAATGTTTTATTACAGCTAATGGAACAAAAATGGTTTGCAAAATATTAATTCTAATAGGTAGCCTACATATACGTTGAGGAATAGTTATAGGCTTACAATTATACAGTTTACAGAGATTCTATGGACTAGCTTGTGTGGTCATTGGAATAGCTCAATCGTTTTGCTGTTTTTAGAATGCACATCAGGACCTTTTCTCATGTTTGTAACCCTCATTGCTGACCTAAATGTCATATTCTGTATAACATTGCTTCTGAGGTTATAGAGAATGGAAGCTCTCTATGTGCTATAAACCAATGGATATCTTTTTGTGTAGGCCTATATTATTTTCACTCTCAGTCGATATATATAAAGAGTGGTTGTGAACCATACAGATTATTTAGATTAGTTGTTGTCATATAAAATACTATTGGTGGAGTTCAATGCCAACAAATGTATAATTTTATTGAAAATGTTTTATTACAGCTAATGGAACAAAAATGGTTTGCAAAATATTAATTCTAATAGGTAGCCTACATATACGTTGAGGAATAGTTATAGGCTTACAATTATACAGTTTATCTTATAGTATAAAGATTGAAATATATTTTACGTACTAAATATATGTTTACTAATGGTTCAAATATCGTGAACGTATAGTCTTTCAACTTATTTCTACCTCATCTAAATCATCGTCGCCCTCTAGTGTCTGAATCTGAGAATATCCATAAACTGCTTAATCAGAACGAAAACATGAATGAAACTAACGAGTTCTTGTGTGCACTTTCATGTGCAATGTCTTACTGCCACCTTGTGGACAACTACTGACAAACATAGTTTTTATTTTTTAAAGCACTGTATAAGAGTAAATAATAATGTAGCTGATGCTTTTATCCAATTTGAATAAAATCCACTAGGTTTTATAGTCCCTCTTGAACAAGGTACTTTCCAGATTGCTCAACCAGCACAATGGTGGTAGTTAATTAAACTTAATAAGTTATTACGTTTTTCGTATTTGTACATAAAATCATGCATAGGCTATATGCACAACAGAGTTAAGTAACGTTTCACACACACACACACACACACACACACACACACACACACACACACACACACACACACACACACACACACACACACACACACACACACACACACACACACACACACACACACATTATAATTATATATATTATTATTATTATTAGAACACTTTAAAACTAGAAATGCACTACTATTAACTACTCGGTTGACAAACTCTTGCTATTTAGGAAGGGCTGTGCTTCTCAGTTTTCATTGGGCAAACCCGATCCAGAGGTTTTTCATGAGCGCACAGTGGGAGGAGAGACTACAGCAGCGCTGGATATCAAAAAATAAACCTCTCATTTCTCAGAAAGTATAAATACCAGCGCCTCAATCCAGAGACAGTCCGGTGGATTTAAGAGCTCGCGAACTTGGCTCCGTTTTAGCTTAAATTCGGTTACACCTAGTTGCATTAAATAATAACTTATTCATTTTCAAAATAGATTTAAGCTAAGGAAGGCAAATGCTGGATAGTAATTATAAATGTTTATGATATTAAGACCAGTTTTTAATTGGTTATAATTTTATAATTAGTTGTTTTAAATAGTAAATTCGAACAATTAATCAATTAGATACATTAATTATTTATTTTTTGTAAGAGCGGTATTTTAATAAAATGTGGTCGTGTGTAGTCATATCTACATTAATTGTTTGCCTCCTCGCTGAAACATCTGCTCACTCATTTGAGACTGAGGAGACTGTACCTGTACGGCTGACTGGACGGACCGCTGGACGAGTGGCAAAGAGGAGTGAAGAACAGCCCAGCTTCAGACTCACGGCTTTCGGCAGGAATTTCACACTGAATTTGATACCGGACAGCACCTTTATATCGCCAGCACTGAAGGTTTATCGCATCAAAGCCAAACCACAAGAAAGACTTGAGTCAACTAGCAAGCTGACAGATCTTTACAAGACCTTGAATCAAACTGAAGAGACTGGAGCAGAATTATTAAAAGGTTGTTTTTACACCGGCGTTGTTGACTCTAATGCGGACTCTATTGTTTCTGTCAGTTTATGTCATGGGATTCTAGGATCATTTATCACAGATAGTAAAGAATATTTAATCGAACCTAAACTTTTCGGCTTGGGAACATCTGGAAAGTTAACTGAGCAGCTGCATGTCATTAAAAGAAGACGTTTTACAAAGTCCCCGCAGGTCTCTGAACCGCTGTCAGATATCAGAGACGATGATCAGAATTTGATGTCTAGACGCAGGCGTTTTGTCTCTACGCCCAGGTTTATTGAGACTTTGGTGGTCGGTGACGCTTCCTTGACACATTTCTATGGAGACGAGATCAAGGTAGGGTCTCACATTTGTAAATATAAAGATGTGTTTAATCTTAAATCTAGTTGAAGCTGTTTTAGAACAAGGTGGCTTCTAGCTGGTCTAAGCTGTGTTGGTGCAACATGATCCAAGCTGGTCATTTTGACCAGCAGTCATCTTCCAAAAACCAGACTGACCATTTTAAGATGACATGACTAACTGGTAACTTTCTGTCCCAAGATGGTCAACCAGCTTGTAGGCTATCAGCTAATAAATGCCTTATAATGAAAGTTCTTTAGACCTCTATTAAAAGCTCTGATGATATAACAGTCCTAGTTTTGACTTACAGT